GGCTACATTTGTGGGCTATATATATTTTTAAAAATATTAACATTATTCTTTGAAAAAAAAAAAAAAAAAAAACAACCGATTGTCCACAAACTTTAAAGCAGAAGTTAAATCATTATATTAAAAACGCTCAAAAAGAAAAACAAAAGCACAAACTAAGTGTTAACTGGTAAGAGGTTGAATGTTCTGCAGTAACACACACATCCACTCATCTGAACACAGTAAAGTTACTTTATTCTGTAAATGTATGACGTCTTTACATTTATATACAATTACATGCTACAATCCCTTCAGTTAGTCCTCTCATAAAAACACATATTTTCTTTCTAAAAATAGCTAAATATAGCATCAAACGTATATAAATATAGTATCAAAGATATTTGAACAATATGAATATTTTACTCCGTTACTGCGCTTCCACTCTGTTGCTCGTTGTTTGATTGACGCGCATGCGTGGACTCGCGCTCACAGTGAAGGTTAACGGAGACTCGCTCGCAGTCAGGACGAAGCTTTGTGTGAAATGTAAACACTGACGTAAATTCCTGACATTTACAGATAAGGATATAAAGGTAAATATGTCATTTCTGCACTGAAGAAAACATTTCTGGAACACATTAAACAGCACACGCATCTGTTTCAGCATCTGACACGACGAGCCACGTTAATGCGTCTGTTACGAGTCTGTTTGAAGCGCTTGATATAAAACACTCTCATGTTTTGGACGAACTGGACCGTGCACGTTTCCCACAGCAGCTCACTCAGTAACCTCTGCTGATTTTCAGATGTGTTTTATTCATGGAAACGTGTTTTTCATCATTGTGAAGTGACGTCACTGACTGGGTTATCCACAGACCCGACTAATCCATAATCAAATTCATTGTCCATTATTTTAATTATCGATTATTATCGATTACTTGTTGCAGAATTACTCCCATATACCATTTTTTGCATACAGCTACTAGATACATTTGTGGGATGCATTCTGCTCATTTTCCTAACCCTAACCCTAGTCTGAACAAATACTTATCGATATGTTATGAAAGAAAAGTAAGAGAGAATGTATCACTATCTGGCTCACTATCTGTATCAGAGTGACAACTACTCATTGTAGAAGGCTTACTGAATTCCATCACAGCTCATTGTAAATCTATATACTGTATCATATAACAGTTTTTATTTGATTATATTTTTATTTTATAACAGCCAAAATCCTCTCTACCAAGTTCACTTTTTCAAACCTCTACACTCAGATAATTCAACAGTGCTCAAACTGTATCTGTAAATATATTTTAAAAAATAGTTTGAGACAAAATGCATTTAATGATCCTAATTTTTAAACTGCTTATATAATATACATTTTTCATTTGATTTCTAAAACTATACACATTATACGGCCAAATGTTTGTGGACACCTGACTATCACACCACAACGTTCCATATTTAGTCTCCCATTGCTGCTATAATAACCTCCACTCTTCTGGGAAGGCTTTCCACAAGATTTTGGAGCGTGGTTGTGGGGATTTGCTTTTTCAACCACTAGAATATTAGTGAGGTATAAACACTGATGTCAGGTGAGGAGGCCTGGGGTGCAGTCAGAGTTCCAATTCATCCCAAAAGGTGTTCAGTGGGGTTGAGGTCAGGGCTCTACGCAGTTAACTTGAGTTCTTCCACTCCAACATTAGCAGACCAGGTCTTCAATAAGCTCACTTTGCGCACAGGGGCATTATCATGTTGGAACGAGTTTGGGTTATTGCAATGCTATATCATACAAAGACATTATATACAAGTGCATGTCCAACACTTTGATAAAAGGGTGTGATGGTGTATAGTGTATATCTACAGAGCTATTGTGTCTGATTAAATTAAAAAATGTGCCAAATGGATAGGAGTTCAAAGCCACATGGATTGGAGATTGGATGTCAAATTGATAGCAGTTAACTAAATAATACATAGTATATTGAACTTAATCAAAACTGTGTAAGCCACAATGAATACTCAGAGTCAGAGCACAGTACAACAGCACAGTGTGTACAGAAACATCATACCACAAATCCCGAACTGGCTCGTACAATATAAAGTGCCTCATTTCATTTTTGGATGACCTCCATGGAAGAAAAACACACACACACACACACACACACACACACACACACACACACACATCATTTGCATAGGACAACAAGGCATTTATTAAACCATCCTAATGCAGTCACAAACTAGTTTACTAGTCCATTCAAGAATGGAGTGAGTTTTCTCCTATATTATTTTCTACCAATTAACCACACAAGAGAGACGGAAAGCATATGATCAACTGTTGTTTATGCTACAGTTAGAATTTTGTTCTTTTTTTCTAGCACTTCATTTATTTGTTTTTCCAGTTTTTTCCCCCCAACTGTTGTTTATTGTATAATCCATGACACGGAATGCCAGTAGGATGCAAGTGCAGATTTGATTGAAATAAAACAAAAGTACTAATACAAATGATTAAACACATAAACGATAAACGAGACAACATAATGGCAAAATAAGACCAACGTATGACAACCAGTGTAGTCATACTGTGTAGTCAACTTCATGTGGAGGTGGTCATGTGACATGACGATGTGGTGCAGTGGCTGCTGGGAACTGTAGTCCAGAGTTCCTTCTCAGATGTTACATGACAATATACCTTTCTGCTTGTAATCAAAAGTGGAAGAGGTGCTTTTCGAACAAGCATGAGAAATGAATTACAATGTGAAACTAACTAAAGAACAGATTTGTTTTGCAACATATACATTATATACATTTTATAGAACACGTCCTGCAATGAATCTGGTCAAAACTTTGTTATCCAACAGAGTAGAAAAGTAGATTTAGTCATTTGATAAAAGAGTTTATTTTGAGATTTTTTTTAATCTATTTATTTATTTTTTGGTCATGAAATGAACCGATGTGCTAAGCTGTGTGTTTGTACAGAAAGATTGAATAAGTTTCGAAAAAAAAGGTTCATCAAGTTGATCATGAGCAATGACTCATGCTTGTTAGTAATTAATAAATACCTAATATGTGAGTGCTACTTTCACATTATAATCTATAAACATAACACAAACTCAATAAGCCTGAGAACTGTAATGCTCTGCTTGTTGGGCTAGCAGTCCCAGCTCGTTTGTAAATGTAGCTGGATTTCTTGTGATTGTTGCGGTCAAAAATCCTTGACTTTGTTGCGGCTTTGTTCAAAATTTGCGATGCAACTTGCAGAGTTTACAAACTTCTTGAATTGTCTTTCACAGTGATGTTTGGTGGTAAATGAGAACTTTTAGTTGTCCTCATGTTCAACACACGTGACTCGAAAAGGGCTTTGGCTGGATGCGCATTGCCCAAATCTGCAAAAAATCGGCGGTAATTTTTAACAATTATATTGCAGAGTTTGCTTGATTTCGCGTTCATTACTCTGAGCGCAAAATTACGAAATCCTCGACGGACTGATTTGTTATGTCATTTCAAATGCTTTCAGCCCATGCTGTGAATTAAGTCAACTTTGGATCAATAAATAATCTATCTCATGAGCAATAACACTGTAACTATTCATGGCAGTACTTCAGCAGGTGCTTTCTTTCCATTTCATTTTTACCTTCATTAGCCCACATCCCTGCTGGCTCATTTAGCAGACACGATCGTGTCCTGTGGTGTACTGAAGAAATGACTCAGAGAATTCGAGAAAAAAAATATGTTGGCTTATAATGCGAAATACTTTCCACCAGAAAGCCTCAAGACACGTGTTCGTTCCACTAGAGTCTAATTTTAGCTCACGTATTTTAATCAGTCTGATAAAAATAAAATTAAAAACCCTGTGTGTGTGTGTGTGTGTGCGTGTGCATATGTGTCCATATATGCACAGGCTAATTCTGTACCCTTTCCCTGCAGCACAGTCTTTTTGTTTGGGTTTTTTTTCATATAGAGACAAACAGTCAGGAGTGCCTTTAATAGCAGGAAATGCTGGGTCATGTCAGGAAACACTAGCAACAAATAGTCTTTTAATTCAATACATTTCAGAGAATGCTGGAAAAGCGATCACTGACATCACTGCACCTGTATCCATCTGATACAGCCAGAATAATTGGGCAGCATGATGATCGGCTAGCTCATCCTCTACATACTTACAGACAAGAGTAAAAATGGCACACCAGCCTGTTCAACCAGACAGTACTTGCTGGAGCATAATATATGTCTACACGGCTCAGTCTAGTGACATGTTTATAAGAGCTGGGAGAGGGAAGAAGAAGAGGCATTTTATTTTCGAGTGGCCATAAGTTTACTGAAGAGGGACTATGGCACTGACTGAGACAAGATCAGAAGCAATATAAAAGCGAATGTACTTTGATATATTTCAGGTAACTTTACCGACCTGATTCAAATGTGCACGTTAGTTCCATGTGAATGAACTGTGTTACACAAACGGAATAAAACGGAACCCTCCACTCTCACCTGAGCTCAGGATCAAACCAGGTCAGTGACCATATGAAACTTTACCCACTGAGCTGTACATAATATAATCAGTTTAGACTATAGTCACAGGTGCATCTCAAAAAAATTTAACTTTTTCATTTTTTTTCCCCATAATTGAATTCAAAATGTTGAACTTTTCATATATTCTAGATTCATTACACATGAAGTGAAATAGTATTTGTTTTAATCTTGATGATTACGGTTTACAGCTCATGGATCAAAAATCCAGTACCTCAAAATACTAGAATGAAGAATTTATAATGCAGAAATGTCGACCTTCTGGAAAGTATGTTAATTTGTGCACTCAGTACTTGGTCGGGGATCCTTTTGCAGGAATTACTGCAGTGTGGCATGGAGTCAATCAGCCTGTGGCACTGCTGAGGTGTTATAGAAGACCATTCACACACTACCGACAATTTGGAAATGCCAGTCAGCCTGTACTGCATGTCTTTGGATTGGGGGAGTAAACCAGAATACCCGGAGGAAATCCCGAAGAACATGTAAACTCTGCGCACACAGAGCAGAGGCGGGATTCAAACCCCCAACCCCAGCGGTATGAGGCAAACGTACTAAGCAATAAACCACCCTGCCCCCGTGTTTTGAGGAAATTTTTATATTTTTTTTAAATATAAAAACAGTATGTTATACTGTATGTTCTCCTAAATCAGAGTGACTAAATATTCCCTCTTTTTCCAATGCATCAAGGTGACATTTTTCATATTTGATCATATTTAGCATTTGCAATACAAGTTACATTTGTACAGACTTAACCCCAGTCAGATCAGGATGTCTCTCTCTAGCAGCAGACCTCAGTAACCCAGAGGAGACCACATTACAGAGGAAGGAACGAGTATAAGATTATCCTCTTCTAACAAGGTTTCCAATGTAACATATCATGTTTGCACTCTTGACGAAATTAGCAGGTCAGTGTTTCAGCTATGAGATGTAGTGTTCTGTCGTCATATCACACATAAAAAAAAGCAAAGGTGGAAAAAGTACTGAGCAGTTATATTTGAAAGTATAGATAATGTGTAAAAATCTTTGCCTTTGTTTATTTATTCATTTTCATATGATTCATTTACATGTGATTCATTTACATATGATTCATTTTCATGTGATTCATATTCATGCATGTGATTCATTTTCATGTGATTCATTTAAATATGATACAATATGATATGATATGTGTAAAAATCTTACTTAAAGTGCACCTATTATGGTTTTTCAGATATTACCTTTCATGTAGTGTGTGATGTAGCTGTTTGTGAATGTAAAAATGTCTGGAAAGTTTCAAAAATCAAAGTGCACGACAAAGAGTTATTGACTCCCTAAAGAAGGAACCGATTCTGAACAGCTGAAACGAGTTGTTAATAATTCTAGACTTACTTCCTGCACTAACTAATACTAATTGGTTTGTAACAAAAAACCCACTTCTGGTCTTCATTGCCTGCTGGTGAACAGACTGAGCTGATACTGGTTATGGTAGTGGGCGTTTCCTTTTCGACACACACTGACAGCGGTAGACCAATCACAACAGACTGGGACGTCTGACCAATCAGAGCAGAGTATGTTCTCTGAAAGGAGGAGTTTAAAATGAATCCATTAGAACGGATCATTGAACGAGTCGTTTTTGACACGGGGGGGGGGGAGGGGGGGTTAATGCTGCAATTTAAATTATGAGCACATTAAAGTGTTTTTTGACCTTGGATGCATGTAAATCTATTGTATGTGACCTTTAAAACAAAATTAGGCACGTTTCAAAACCATAATAGGTGCATTTTAAAATGGGAGTACAGGGAGTCGAGACAAAAAATGTACAAGTCAAAGTGGAAATGATACTTTTTAAAAACGTAAATGTATACTTAAAAAGCATTAAAAAGTCAATGTTTTTAACTAATGAAATTAATTAATCTTGTGTTTTCATGCTGAAAATATTTGTTGCTTATCTAAAACTGTTATAATTTTCGTTTTTTAAAAGAAGTATGCCTGTAAAATCTAATGTAAATAACCAACATTTACCATTAGCTAGAATTCCATTATTAGCTACTGGAATCTATGCTCATCTAAACTGGTATTAGTAAAGAAAACAGGCTAACTTGTTTAAATATAGGCAATTAATGTTAGCAAATTAGTAAAACGTCGTGGTAAAAGTTCATGAGGCAGGAGGATGAACACCAATCCTACTTTTGAGCACCCTACTTTTTTTTTTTATTCCATATATATAACACAGGACTACTGTACAGTACTGTGTGAACATTTTATTACGTTATTAGCATATGTATGTTTAATGTAAGTGAAAACGTAAGTAAAAACCGAAGGAATATTCCTTGTACTGGCCCTGAGGTGTTGAACCTGGCTTATACCTGGGACATGATTTTGCGTGGATGCGTGTGCAGAAACAGCGGCAACGGGAGCGGCATTATTATTAACATTATTAGAGCGCTGTCTCTCTCAAAACTTTCCACCATGGTCGTGATTGTTGTCATAGGCTGTGTCTTAAATATCTGACTTTAATACTCAAAAGTATTTACTAAAATCTAGATGATTAGTATGCAAAACAGATCTGATTTGCACACTAACTGTAACAGGAAAGTGTTGGTACTCAATAATGGTCTAAAATAGTATATACTGTATTCCTAAGTATGTGATTTGAGACTCAATGACTACATTTCCACGGACAGCAGTAATCTAATTATTGACCTTTCTTTGAATAAGACAATATTGTGATTAAGGTGTTTACATGAGTTGCTTTTAGAATATTTCTTTCATGTTCCCATTTTACATGTCATAGAACATAGAGTGATTACATAGAGCCACACCGTCTGATGTTCCCGCCAGAATTTCACGTATTAACATTTTGAACAGTTGAACAATTTGTCTTAGTTATGATACTGTATACCAGGGGTCCCCAACCCCCGGGCCGTGGACCGGTGCCGGTCCGTGGGTCATTTGGTACCGGGCCGCACAAAAAGAATAAATAACTTGCATTATTTCCGTTTTATTTATTTTCGGAGTCTGAATGATGTTTTATTTTGAAAAATGCCCGGATTCTCTCCGTTACATCCGTCTACGACTCGCGCTTGACGCAAGTCAAGACGCTTGTCTCGGTCACATGATATGTTACTTGGTCACGTGATGCGTTAAGGGGTAGAGCAGAAGTTACTCATGCTATGTTGTTGGCGTGATGTTACCAGGACGCTGCTAATGAAGCTGCGATTTCACATTGGATTCACGTTTATTATTAAATTTTAAAAATACCCCAGTTTTTATGCCGGTCGTATCACTTTATTTTGTTGTATTTATCCGCCACACCTTAAAGGCCGGTCCATGAAAATATTATCTGATATTAAACCGGTCCGTGGCAGAAAAAACGTTGGGGACCGCTGCCGTATACAGTTTTAGGCGTTTCATTTTTCATTTTGTGAAAGCTTCAAGTGCAGTTAATTATTTGTCATGCTATATGTCAAATAGACGACCATGGGCTGCGTCCCAAACCGCATACTTACCTACTGTATAGTAGCTGACATACGTATATTTCACCTACTATATAGCAGGTAAGTACGTGGTTTTGGACGCAGCCGTGCTCTCTTGTTTCCCCTCAAACGGTTGAACACTGCCATGTGTGTACGTGTCCTGACGGAAAATGCGGTGAAAACTCCCACACGACGTTAATAGTGTGATTAAGGTGTTTACATGTCTATAATGCACTTCAATAATGTGACTAAAACAGGAATACTCCACACGTCTTAAATCAATTTGTGTTTACTTTGAGTGTGACTTCAGTCGGATTAAGGTAATCAATAATTGCTGTGTACATGCTAGTGTCTTCGTTTTAATTGGGTTAATATCAGATTATTGTTGTTCATGTAAACATACCGAATGTTAGTTTGCTTAGCGGAGGTAGATGGACGGGGAAATCTGTCCATTTTTATCGCAAAAATAACGCTAGGGCTGTGTGTCATAACAAGTACTCTATTAAATGAAATGTGGTGTACTGAAAGTGACTCCCAGTAACAGTTTCTAATAATATTACAGAAAATCTGCCTTTGATATATCTAATATTAATTTGTAAAATAAACGAACGAAACAAAAGAGGACATTGTGAATTTCTCTCATGACCCCATATGTAAATCTTGTGACCCCTAGTTTGGGAACCCCTGTTGTACTGTATAGGTCCTTTATTGTTCTGTATTGCTTGCCAAGAACTGGACTCTCAGGGGCACTTTGGATCAGATTTCCAGTTAACTTCGTTCCTTCCTGAAGTAGCAACTAAACACCAGTGGTACACTTCCTGCACTTGATTCAACAATCAAGTGGAACCCCGCTAGTGTTAATCTGCAACCAGACAGAACAATCCATTATGGTATCATTATGTAACTAATCTGAGCTTATGCTCCCAGAAACAACCAAAATATACAGAGAAAGAAATACAAAATGGTAAAATCCACTAACTCTAGTGTCAAGTGTGCAACTGAATGTGATCTCTGGGATGATGACAGGATCGTAAAGGGTTCTAGACCTACTTCTGGTTTGTACAGAGCTCCAAGGCCCAGGTTGGAACCCTGGCAACAAATGGAGACCCTCGGGGGTTTTTGTGCATGTGTGTTAGTTGGCGAGGTTTGCCTCTGATCAATGCAACTACTGCCCTTAGACTGGAAAATATCCTGCAGTATTTGTGCCTACATCATGTGTATTGTGTATGTGTCCAAGTGTGTGAGAAAGAGACAGTCTTCATGCTTAATACTGACTCCTTAATCATGCTGAGTATCATATGCTATAAATTAATTCTTAAAATAGTACTGTAACCTGTCTGAGTCATCAGTGTCTAAATCTGATGCTATATTTCTCTGTGTGTGAATTGTGTGTGTGTGCAATCACACTATGCCAAGTGAGAAAGCTGGGTGTTGCACACTCTCTAATGTATTGCAGGTATACGTGAGAGACGATACACGAACGTGTCGATTGCGATTATTTTGAAGCAGACGAGCGCAAGCATCTCATCATTTTGTAATGTCTACCCTCTCTAAAAAAAATCATGGATGAATCTTTTTTCTGTACAGTATACAGTTTAATGGCACAAACGAATGTACGAATATATGGAAAAGAGCTGTGAGAGTCAAGACGAGGAACGAAGAGAGAGTTAGCAGAAGAGAAGAGCAGTAGGTAGATTGTGCATTTTAGGTCAAGCATTTTCAATTCAGTCTATGCCAATAAGAAACTATTTAAAATAGACGAGTGTGACGCACCACCTTCTCAAAATAAAAACGGATACTGGCCAGTATAACAAAAAACATATAAACAAACAATAAAAAAAAAAAAAACTAATGTCAGTCTGAACGCCTAAGCCAATAGAGAGCAGCAGGCGTGTAAAGCAATAGAGTCTAGGCTTGTGAGATCGTGTGTAATATACCATCGTCCTATCGAACCCCCCAAACTATCGCAAACTGACAGTATGGCTTTGAGGATGGAAAAGAAAGGGGCGTGGCCAGACAGCGGAAAAAATACTGGAAGCTGGTTCTTAATTGACTGTAGCTGCACTCACAATCAATCAATTTAAAAAAAAAAAATACCCCTTAAGAAGGTCAGGAATG